AAGAAGAATTGATTTATGCAGCCAACAACCACAAAAAAGGAATGTATCACGTTCCAATGCGCATTAAGTTTTAAGTGTGTAATTTATTGCAACATTATTCATAAAAAAAATTGGGAAGATAACTGCTGAATGATAGATGATTTGTAAGACATGTATAAAAACTGATATTTATTGCGTTTAATGCAAAATACAACATTGGAAAGATTATATTTATTTACATGAGCTATTTTTTCGAATAAATTCCTATTACTAATTTTTACAATTCTTTACCATTAATTATAAATACTAATTACAATGATGTAATATGTTAACGTAATTACGTAGAAATTCGTTTATTCTTTACATATAATCCAAATTAACAATATGTACATAACACATAATTTACAACAAACAGCTATTGCTGATCTTATAATTTATTTTTAATAACGTCTCGTTTTTTGGGGGGTGAATGAATAATGTTGCAATAAATTACTCACCTAATACTTAATGCACATTGGAACGTGATACATTCATTTTTTGTGGTTGTTGGCTGCATAAATCAATTCTTCTTGTCGCATAGTATCAAATTAAAAAGATATATATTTTATCTTTTATAGATCCCCAGAAAAGTAAGACTAAAGTTGTGCTATCGATTTTGAACACACGCGACAACTTTTTTCGAGAGTGAAAAACGCGATCGATCAGCTTCCTCCACCACTTAATGGAAAATCGAACGCTCGGCTGAGTTTAGAAAATTGTTTTATGTGACTTCTCTCTTGCCCGTACAATTAATATTTACTGTACTGAAAGCACTCCGGCTGCTGATTATATGCATTTTTTTTTTCGCTCCGCACTTTATTTATTCAACAATAGACCGTCAACTTTGAAAGCCTATAACTCCGCTGTTTATTAACAAATCGTGGGGAATCTTTTTTCAAATTGATTTTTTTTGTGCTCTTTTAGTAGGTACATGTAATAAAATACTAAAAAAAGATTATAAATTAAGGGCGTATTTAATTTTGCAACTAAGGAAATTTATTAAATAATTTCCCTTCGCTATAAAAATGCATTTTTTGAGAACAAACAATGGAACTCGATAACTTTCTGTTAAATCTACCAATAAAAAAAATTGGCGCGACTTCGGGTACCGCTCAGATTTGTACAGATCGTTAATTAGTTAATTTGTTTATATAAGGCCATAACTCGCAAAATAATCCACTTACGGATTCCGGCTCTCGCATAAATTATTTGTCTGCAGTGAAGAATGATTAAGTGTTATCCGAAGAAGCCTCTGTGATAACATCACGATGTATTATTGTTTATTTAAAATGGCATAATTGGCGGTTTTTTGCAATTTACTTTTGACCGGATTGATATTGTTTGACGCTCGAGACGTCGTTTTGTAGATGTTCACGGCGTCCTGGGTGAGCGGCGACAAACGGCCGGTGCGGCCGGCGCGATCGACGCGGTTGAAGTGGCCGACGCGATGCTAACGCCTATTTCTGTTAAGAGTGCAGGTCCATTCTCTCGAATGGTCGATTATATAATTCTCATATAATTTTTAAGATTTAAAAATGTAAACTGAAGCGGCAGAGGCGGAATTATCAAATAATTTGATCGCGTCGTCCGCATGAAAACCGCACGAGCCGCTTGTGCCGGGCGGTACCTCGTACGTAGGACAGAACCTATGATGCTCTAATTTTGAAAATCACTGCTTTGGCTGTTCCGGTCGCACCGGCCGCACCGGCCGTTTGTCGCCGCTTACCCAGGACGCCGTGTTTTAAAGAGGAACAAAAAAAGTATTTTACCATTTCTCTGTAGAACCGTCAGAAATAAGTTACAGTCGAAAAACGCAAATTATTATTTATACGGTACATATTATTCTACACTATTTTTACTATCTGCTCACAAAAAATCAGCCTGACCGAAGAATTATGCATGAAATATGAAATGGTCATTTTCGGGCAAGATTTCCTGGTCTAATATGCCTTACTTAGTTTGACGTACTGTTTTTGAAAACTTTTCGTTTAGTGAGTTTCTACAAGAATATCTTTTTTATGCTAAAAGTTGAATTGAAATGTTAATAGACAAATTGAGGAAGTAACTGGTTAAAAATGGGTGTAAAGAATTCATCTCGCCGCCTTTCGGACAATTATAGATAAAATTTAATTACAAAAATATAAATTTTAAAAATGTTGTACATATATTAATATTTCATATACCAAATTTATGTCCACAAACGTAGGTATTTATTAAAACCTTGTTCCAATTAAAAATTGCATCAAATACACTTATAAAAATTTTAATCATTATTTTTTATTATAAATTGTAACTTTTTCTAATAAAACACTGTACATTACTGTGTTCTTAATGTCCCTTCGAATTTAAGGCTTACTTTCACAAAACATCGTTTCATAAACCATTTCGGTGTTATTTAATGTGGAAAGTGGAAAACAAGTAAGTATAATATTATCTATTAAAAAACGTTTGTTATTAATAATAATAATTTTATTCACAAACGATCAGCATTGCGAAAAACTGGTTAGCACTTTTTTATTGTAAAATAAACAGCGTAAGAAACATTATTATTTTTATATTTTGTCAACGGCGCATCAATTTTTTTTAGTAAAGGCACTAACACTAGAATTTTTTGATAATCTACCTGTTTCTAAAGTTTGGTGAAAGAAAATCGAACCACCCTGTAAACACTAGTTTTAAATAACGAGCGTTCAAATAAAAACGTGGTCGAAGTTGCTCTGACACATTGGACGTAGGGAGTAGCTTATAGCGACCAACTTAACCTCATTTCTCAACGAGCTGTATAGCAGCTGTCAGTTTCAATAACGTTAATGACTATATAACTTTATTTTAAAGAATAATCGTGATAACAATAACAAACAATTAAAGGATCTGCGGAAAGTGTCCCCCTCCTTGTTATAACAATAAATTAAAGCAGCTGCTGAAAGTTCCAAGCACTTTTCACACCTGTTCCTCAAAGAATTAAAGACATTTTCTAAGATGCTCGGGGTATTGTTAATTTCAAGAATCTTGTCTATAAGTCGCGCCTGCAGATGGTTTAAATCAGGAATAGGCAGTTCAAAAATAGTGTTTTTAAGGTAATGCCACAAAAAGAAATCACACGGCGTAATATCACATGACCTCGGTGGAAATTCATGTTCAGCATTGAGACTTATTAGTCGATTTTGGAAAACTTCTCTCAACATATTCATCGTCTCGCCTGCCGTATGTGCCCTTGCGCCATCTTGTTGAAAGTAAAAGTTTGTAATTTCGTTTTCTTCCAGCTGGTTAACAAAAGGAGCTATAATTTCTTCTCTATACCTTTGCTCAGTAAGAGTACCATTAAAAAAAAATAGGTCCATAAATCCTCCTTCGATTGAGAGCACACCAAACTCCAATTTTTTGAGAGTGTAGAGGGCCCTCGACAAAAAAGTTATCTGGTTTTTCAGAAGACCACATTCTCATATTCTGTGAGTTTACGTAACCACTTAAATGAAACCAGGCTTCATCAGAAAAAAAGGTGATATTATGAAGTTCACCGTAGTTGTTTAAAAACCATTCACAAAATACAGCCCGTCGCGGAAAATCAACTTTATGAAGTTCTTGCTGACAAGTTAAACGATAGGAGAACAAACGCAAATATTTTTTTAACACTGTGTGGCAGGTACCGACTGATACTCCCACCATTTGTGATAGAACACGTACAGAAGTTCTTGGCGCATTTTCCATTATTTGTTGGACATTTTCTTTTAATTCTTCAATCCGCTTTTTAGGTCGGCCGCTTGCTTCTTTTCTTGTTACACTGCCCGTTTCACGAAAAACATTAACACAACGCTGAACTGCACTTTGAAAAATTTTGTACTCAACAACGCCGGGAAATTGATTTTGAAATTCTATGAAACATTCCTCAATAGAATACTTCCATATTCCATCAATCTTGCGTCCATTTCTAAAGTAGGACTCTATGATAAACACTTTTTGTTCTTGAGAAAACACCATTTTAAACGCTTTTTAAAACGAAAATATTCAAATTGACAGCGGCGATATAGCGCTTTGACAGATGACGTTTAAGTTCATTTGCTATACGCTACGCCCTACGTCCAAATTTTCAGAACCAACTTGACCACGTTTTTATTTGAACGCTCGTTATATAACCAAAAAAGGACCAGTCAAGGATTTGTTTTTTTTTTCATAAATTCAGTTCTAGAGTTGTCTAAACCGATTTCGTGCAAAGGGTTACTTAGAAATTTAATTATATGCATATGCAATTAATTAAATAAACTAGTTCAAAGAAATAATTATTACAGACAATTGTTACCAAATATTAGACGTCATATTTGAAATAAGTACTAAATTGGGAAACGGGCACCTCTAACGTTTGAAAAATGTTAAATATAGCAGATCAAGAGAATCATAATTATGATTATATCTTTTGGCACTGTTTGGCAGTTGATTAATACAAAATTCACCCATATGATGCGTATTAATTGTAAAAATTTAATTGCGTTTTTTATGAAAATCACGAAAAAATTTTTCAGCAATAAAAATAAATTCTAGAATTCTATTTTCAAATTTTTTTCCACTTACCAAGACAGTTTAAATTTGACATTTTAAAATAAACTGTATAACTTCAGTAATTTATCTATTTTATAACCTTTATAATTGCATACTTTTACTTTTTACATCAAAAAATATATATGTACGAATTAAAATTAAAAATAAATAAATAAATAATAATAATATAATATAATATCATATGATAATACCAAACAATTGTAATATTTGTTATTTAGTATTACGCAAGGAGAACATAAACAAGATAAAAAAGACTTAGCAAGGTCATCAACGAAATATTACGAATTGAGACTTCGGACAGTATCGCTAGCGCGCCTCTGATTTAAAGCAGGTTTTTAGTATAGGAGTTGCGCATAATCCAATCTTCCAAGGCGCTGCTTGTTAGTCAACCGACCGCTGGATGGTTGGACTCGTGGAAGTCGTGGAACGTGGAGTGGAACGCTGAAGTTAGTGCAGTATTTGCAGCCTATGTTGTTGGAAGTGCGTGCTCGTCTTGTTCAATTGCTCACTCGCTCCATGTGATCTGTGATACTAATTATTAATGTTACTAGTTGATTTTTGATATGCCACTAACAGACATGTGCCGATTGTGCTCCTCAAAAGACAATCTTGTGTGGGTGTTCGATAAAAGATTTGAGAATACTGACAACATGAAATATATGACTTTAATTACAACAGGAGTTGAGGTGAGTGAAAAGTTTTCTTTTTGTAAAGTTTTTGTAGTCTTGTTTTTATTGAAATTTTTTGTTTTATTAAATTGATAAAGGTAAATACTTAGGTACTAGTTTGTTTTTTAGTAGATGACTGATGTGTAAATTAACCTACAATACTAATTAAAATTGAAGAGTCATAATTGTCAGAATAGACAGTTGATTACTGTTGTTATTAGATCTTAGATTGTTGTTCATAAAATCATAAAATAGTGAAGTTAGTGAAGAGCGGTCCAGTGCCATTTAAAAAATTTAACATGTTTCTCATTTCTCTAAATTGGTGTTTTAATTAAAAAAAAATATTTACTATAGCGCCACCCTCCCAAATCTTCACAAAATTCTGTCTACCCCGCCCCTATTTTCGATGGCGCTGAACACGAAACTGAAGTTATATTTGTGCGGTCGAACCCAATTTTCGAGAAAAAAATTTTCAAAATTCTAACCTGATATTTCACATGACACTCCGCACAACTCTGTATATTTTATGTAGCTTCCGAACATCAATCAACATTGTTTAAGAAACACATTTTCCCAAATTTGACCTAAAAAATTATTATTATTATTATTATTATGTATGATTAATTATTTAATAAATAAAATTGTAGTAACATTATGTGGGATGAACAGAGAAGAATGAGAGTAGGGGAACTTCAATGTCATCAAGAATTACAAATGGCGGATTCAAGCAACATAATTTTTATTTATTAAATAGGTACTTGCATATTTTTTTTACCTGAAATTTGCGAAAATGTGTTTTGTAAACATTGCCAAATGGTAATACCAGATGTTCTGAGAGTTAAATAAAGTATACATACAGTGTCGTGCCTAGTGTTGTGCGAAATGTCCGGTTAGAATTTTGAAAATTTTTTTCTCGAATACTGCGTTCGACCGCACAAAAATAACTTCAGCATCATCGAAAATTGGGGGAAATAATATTTTATGAAGATTTGGGAAGGTGACGCTGTAGTAAATAATTACCAAAAAAATATTAAGGACTTATTTATTATTCCTTATTAGGTTAATTTATATAATTTTAGAAATTTTTTGTCGATACAATTCCAAGAAGAAAATAAGCCAATATAGTTCTGTTATCGGATTTTCTGAAATACTGTAACGATTTACCACGGCAAAGGCGTAGGTACCTTCAAATTTTCCCCCAGTCTCTCTCTCTCTCTCTCGCACACATCGTCTCTCTCCTCTCTTCCTTATCTCTCCTCTCTCCTCATCTCTTCCTCTCTTCCTTCTCTATCTCCCTTCTCTATATTCCCTCTCCCCAAACTCTCTCTCCCCCTTCCCCCAACTCATCTCTCCCCCTTC